TTACAAGGCTTTTAGTTGTTGAAAAGGCAATAAACCATCCCCGACAACTAATCTCAAGTCATTTGTGGCCATTTAAGATTTTCCGCCATTGATATTAAGTCGCATTGCCGTACCATACCGCTCGTTGTGAAATAAATTAGTACTTAGCTTTTATTGCTTTCACAGCAATGATGGCATCAGCCACATCCACTCCTCTGCACTAGCTTAACATTCTAATCCTCCATGTATTAGTTTATGTCATCTAAAATAAAATACTTTATTTTGTGAGAGCGGGGGGTATAAATGGGAACCATAATTAGCAGTAGTTTAAATGAAAACTAAGATTTACATGCGTGATGGAAATATATATATATATATATATATATATATGTATAGAGAGAGAGGTTTACATTTAAAGAATAATGATTAGAGTTGAGGTTTATACGCCACACCGCGCAGTACTATAGGGTATTATGTATGTTTTGGGGGAAAGAAATTAGACACAGTTACATATGTATACAAAGATACTACTACTATTCAAATCGATTTAAGCATGTCCATGCGTTCGACTGTTGACTAACGATTTTAAGCAAAGAGCAGGTCGCAATTATTTTTTCCAATTGTAACTAAATTTTGTGGAACATTTTTTTTTGCCAAGGATTATCTAAAAATAAATTTGATATAAAAAAACTTGTGATAAAGCATATTTAAGACCCCTACATAAGTTTAAGAATATATCTACGTATTCGATAAGAAGAGCTCCAGGCCTTCGATAAGAAGAGCACCGATAAGAAAAGTTCAATGTCTTCAATAATAATACATCCAGACCTTCGGTAAGAAAACCTGCAGCTCTTGTATAAGAAGACCACCAGTTGCTCTATAAGAAGACCTCCAGCTCTTCTATAAGAAGACCTCCAGCTCTTCTATAAGATGAACTCCAGCTCTTCTATAAGAATACCTCCAGCTCTTCTATAAGAATACCTCCAGCTCTTCTATAAGAAGACCTCCAGCTCTTCTATAAGAATACCTCCAGCTCTTCTACAAGAAGACCTCCAGCTCTTCTATAAGAAGACCTCCAGCTCTTCTATAAGAAGACCTCCAGCTCTTCTATAAGAAGACCTCCAGCTCTTCTATAAGAAGACCTCCAGCTCTTCTATAAGAAGACCTCCAGCTCTTCTATAAGAAGACCTCCAGCTCTTCTATAAGACCTCCATCTATTCTATAAGAAGACCTCCAGCTCTTCTATAAGAAGACCTCCAGCTCTTCTATAAGAAGACCTCCAGCTCTTCTATAAGAAGACCTCCAGCTCTTCTATAAGAAGACCTCCAGCTCTTCTATAAGAAGACCTCCAGCTCTTCTATAAGAAGACCTCCAGCTCTTCTATAAGAAGACCTCCAGCTCTTCTATAAGAAGACCTCCAGCTCTTCTATAAGAAGACCTCCAGCTCTTCTATAAGAAGACCTCCAGCTCTTCTATAAGAAGACCTCCAGCTCTTCTATAAGAAGACCTCCAGCTCTTCTATAAGAAGACCTCCAGCTCTTCTATAAGAAGACCTCCAGCTCTTCTATAAGAAGACCTCCAGCTCTTCTATAAGAAGACCTCCAGAAGACCTCCAGCTCTTCTATAAGAAGACCTCCAGCTCTTCTATAAGAAGACCTCCAGCTCTTCTATAAGAAGACCTCCAGCTCTTCTATAAGAAGACCTCCAGCTCTTCTATAAGAAGACCTCCAGCTCTTCTATAAGAAGACCTCCAGCTCTTCTATAAGAAGACCTCCAGCTCTTCTATAAGAAGACCTCCAGCTCTTCTATAAGAGGACCTCCAGCTCTTCTATAAGAAGACCTCCAGCTCTTCTATAAGAAGATCTCCAACTCTTCTATAAGAAGACCTCCAGCTCTTCTATAAGAAGACCTCCAGCTCTTCTATAAGAAGACCTCCAGCTCTTCTATAAGAAGACCTCCAGCTCTTCTATAAGAAGACCTCCAGCTCTTCTATAAGAAGACCTCCAACTCTTCTATAAGAAGACCTCCAGCTCTTCTATAAGAAGACCTCCAGCTCTTCTATAAGAAGACCTCCAGCTCTTCTATAAGAAGACCTCCAGCTCTTCTATAAGAAGACCTCCAGCTCTTCTATAAGAAGACCTCCAGCTCTTCTATAAGAAGACCTCCAGCTCTTCTATAAGAAGACCTCCAGCTTTCTATAAGAAGACCTCCAGCTTTCTATAAGAAGACCTCCAGCTCTTCTATAAGAAGACCTCCAGCTCTTCTATAAGAAGACCTCCAGCTCTTCTATAAGAAGACCTCCAGCTCTTCTATAAGAAGACCTCCAGCTCTTCTATAAGAAGACCTCCAGCTCTTCTATAAGAAGACCTCCAGCTCTTCTATAAGAAGACCTCCAGCTCTTCTATAAGAAGACCTCCAGCTCTTCTATAAGAAGACCTCCAGCTCTTCTATAAGAAGACCTCCAGCTCTTCTATAAGAAGACCTCCAGCTCTTCTATAAGAAGACCTCCAGCTCTTCTATAAGAAGACCTCCAGCTCTTTTATAAGAAGACCTCCAGCTCTTCTATAAGAAGACCTCCAGCTCTTCTATAAGAAGACCTCCAGCTCTTCTATAAGAAGACCTCCAGCTCTTCTATAAGAAGACCTCCAGCTCTTCTATAAGAAGACCTCCAGCTCTTCTATAAGAAGACCTCCAGCTCTTCAAAAGGAGACCTCCAGATCTTCTATAAGAAGACCTCCAGCTCTTCTATAAGAAGACCTCCAGCTCTTCTATAAGAAGACCTCCAGCTCTTCTATAAGAAGACCTCCAGATCTTCTATAAGAAGACCTCCAGCTCTTCTATAAGAAGACCTCCAGCTCTTCTATAAGAAGACCTCCAACTCTACTATAAGAAGACCTCCAACTCTACTATAAGAAGACCTCCAGCTCTTCAAAAGGAGACCTCCAGATCTTCTATAAGAAGACCTCCAGATCTTCTATAAGAAGACCTCCAGCTCTTCTATAAGAAGACCTCCAACTCTACTATAAGAAGACCTCCAGCTCTTCAAAAGGAGACCTCCAGATCTTCTATAAGAAGACCTCCAGCTCTTCTATAAGAAGACCTCCAACTCTACTATAAGAAGACCTCCAGCTCTTCAAAAGGAGACCTCCAGATCTTCTATAAGAAGACCTCCAGATCTTCTATAAGAATACCTGCAGCTCTTATATAAGAAGACCTCCAGCTCTTCTATAAGGAGACCTCCAGATCTTCTATAAGAAGACCTGCAGCTCTTATATAAGAAGACCTCCAGCTCTGCTATAAGAATACCTCCAGCTCTTCTATAAGAAGACCTCCAGCTCTTCTATAAGAAGACCTCCAACTCTACTATAAGAAGACCTCCAGCTCTTCAAAAGGAGACCTCCAGATCTTCTATAAGAAGACCTCCAGATCTTCTATAAGAAGACCTCCAGCTCTTCTATAAAAAGACCTCCAACTCTACTATAAGAAGACCTCCAGCTCTTCAAAAGGAGACCTCCAAATCTTCTATAAGAAGACATCCAGCTCTTCTATAAGAAGACCTCCAGCTCTTCAAAAGGAGACCTCCAGCTCTTCAAAAGGAGACCTCCAGATCTTCTATAAGAAGACCTCCAGCTCTTCTATAAGAAGACCTCCAACTCTACTATAAGAAGACCTCCAGCTCTTCAAAAGGAGACCTCCAGATCTTCTATAAGAAGACCTCCAGCTCTTCTATAAGAAGACCTCCAGCTCTTCTATAAGAAGACCTCCAACTCTACTATAAGAAGACCTCCAACTCTACTATAAGAAGACCTCCAACTCTACTATAAGAAGACCTCCAGATCTTCTATAAGAAGACCTCCAGCTCTTCTATAAGAAGACCTCCAGCTCTTCTATAAGAAGACCTCCAGCTCTTCTGTAAGAAGACCTCCGGCTCTTCTGTAAGAAGACCTCCGGCTCTTCTATAAGAAGACCTCCGGCTCTTCTATAAGAAGACCTCCAGCTCTTCTATAAGAAGACCTCCAGCTCTTAGATAAGAAGAGCTCCAGCTACTATATAAGAAGACCTCCAGATCTTCTATAAGAAGACCTCCAGATCTTCTATAAGAAGACCTCCAGCTCTTCTATAAGGAGATCTCCAGATCTTCTATAAGAAGACCTGCAGCTCTTATATAAGAAGACCTCCAGCTCTGCTATAAGAATACCTCCAGCTCTTCTATAAGAAGACCTCCAGCTCTTCTATAAGAAGACCTTCAGCTCTTCTATAAGGAGACCTCCAGCTTTTCTATAAGAATGCATCCAGAATATATATTAGTTTGTTGTGAAATTTGGCAACCAATCCTATGTATTGTTCGCGAACAATTGATCTATCCCTATGGGTCGAAGCAAAGCAGCTGTGGTCGACCCAAGACGCGCGATATCTGAGAAAAAAATTCGTGGAAAAGCACATGGACGCAAATGGTATTCTGTTTATTGTAAAAACTGGTTATGTAGCGGCTCTTCCGCCTAGGTAACATGGATCGGATTAATTCGAAAAACGAAACGTTGCCACATTAATAGTTTTACTAAAGAAACATGCGCATTGGCTACGAAGTGCTATCACGAATAACGTATGTTGCATTCCCCTCGTTGTCGAAGACCTACCCTGTATATAATATTGATTTTTTATCGGAATCATAGATCCATGCATATAAGTGCCCTTATCTGGTACCAACGAGAACCACTTTTACGGCCAGGCGTCCATCCGATATCCTATGTGTGTTAGTGGAAAATGCCCAAAGAAGCTTCTATCTCACGGTATATCTCAATATGATCTTGTACTATCAGCTCATGCACGGCGTCAGTGTTCTTTGATCGAATTGTGACACATCGAAATAATTTATAATTAGATTTGTGTCAGACTTAGTTTCATATATATCCTTGAGGCCTTTGCATTTTCATCACCATGGCAAACATTTCAAATTCCCTTAAACATAAATACTTAACCGAATCGCTTGATTGAAAATATTAAAACAATATTAAACTTACCGCCTTTAACGTGAACTTCACGACTTAGAACTGTGCCGACCAAGTTTCTCAATTTGCATCTGTAAGAAGAGGTACAAAAGAAAAACAGAATAATGTAGATGACATGGTTCACCAGAGAATTTATCGCCACGAATAAAAAAACTAAAAAAGTACAACAGCAACAAAAAACTAATTTAAAAAGTGTACACAACAGGAACCAACTTACCTATATACACTGGAATGAACTTCATGGCGAAACTTTTCCGCAGTGAATGGATAAAACATCAGACTACCATTTGTTGTTTGTACCACCATATCCTGTTGGGGTGGTATGGGCGTCCACTCTACCTGCAAATAGGAAATAGTGCGGCGAAGGTTATTAGAAGTTTTTTTTTTTATTAATGTTAGCTTTTGTTTTTGGGTCGATTTTAAAACACCTGAATGTAAAATTAAAAATATTTACTTTTTTGGGGGACTCGTTTAATTAAAATAATTGATGGTAATTCCTTCTACTGGAAATTCCAACTGTATTTACATTTTAATATAGAATGGGAGACAATGCGACTGGATAAAGAAGGAGGTGAACTAAAGTAGAGACTTGTAATGTTAGACAAATTTATCCAAATATGGGCAATATTGCCAATTGTTTAATACTCCATTTTCATCCGTGGTACAAAAGTTCGGAATTTACGATAAAATTGTGGGTGCAGTCAGATTTGATATATGCGATATATAAGGGAAGCCCCCCCCCCCCCCCCATTCTCGATTTTTTATTATTAAGATTTTAAATGGCCTGGTAAATGAATACCAATGCATGTTAAGCTTTGTAACTTTGCACATATATATTTGAAGATTTAAAAAGGAAGAAAAATAATATACAAAAAATTTTGTTGTAGTTTTTTGTTATCAAAGAAATGTCATTATTTTTGATGGCGGGCATGATAATCCTAAAATACTAACGGTGTTAGAAAGAGTACTTCACTCTAAAATTAACAGAATGGCGGACCTTTAAAAAATATTTTCGGAAAATCGCTAATTTTTGAACAAAAACCAAGTTTAAAAATATGGAAGATCTTCACTTTGAAATCAATTGGGTTATTAGCTTTTGAGTTATCGTGCCCGCCATTCGCAAAAACGCTGTTTGGAGAAAACGCGTTTAAAGTTTGAGAAGCCCTCTTGCTGTCACCTGATGCTGACACAAAAAATCCGCTATATCTTCAAAAATTGTTGAGATTTTCACTTGAAAATTTATGGGGACATTCCTGAGAATGGGTGGGGTGCCCTTAAGTCATTAAAGTGATGTGACAAATTTCACAGCAATCTATGCTAATAAATAACCAGTAAGGAAAATAGTAATGTCGGACGGGGCCGACTATATGATACCCTTCACCACGTTGGGTATATTCAACAGAGGACCATTAACACGAAAACATAAACATGTCATTCTCCAACCTATACTATTTTTTCATTTGGTCAGATATAGGGTTGCTTCTTACAATGGGACAAAATTATGTAAATATATATACATAAGCTATATAAAAATCTGAACCGATTTCAATGATACTTGCGAGAGATTAACTTATATTAACTACAGTTCATTTAAAAAAAAATGTGTGGCAATCAGACAAACGGTGGGTCTTTAGTGCACCATTTACATTAAATCGGACAAAAATATATATGGGAGCGATATCTAAATCGACCGACCGATTTTCAGGAAACAGGAAACACACAGCATTCTAGACCTATTTCATTACGGTATGCCAAATTTCGTGCAAATCGAAAGATATATAGGGACATTGGTACACCATTTACATTAAATCGGACGAAAATATATATGGAAGCTACATCTAAATCCATTTACATTAAATCGGATGAAAATATGTATAGGAGCTATATATAAATCTGGACCGATATTCAGGAAACTCAACACGCATCGTTCCCGACCTAACTCATTACGCTATGCCAAATTTCGTGCAAATCGAAATATATATAGGGACTTTGGTACACCATTTACATTAAATCGGACGAAAATATATATGGGAGCTGTATGTAAATCTGGACCGATTTTCAGGAAACTTGACACACATCATTCTAGACCTAATTGATTACGCTCTGGCAAATTTCGTGCAAATCGAAAGATATATAGGGACCTTTGTTCACTATTTACTTTAAATCGGACAAAAATATATATGGGAGCTATATCTAAATCTGAGCCGATTTTCAGGAAACTTAACACACATCATTTTAGACCTAATTCAGTACGCTGTGCCAAATTTCGCGCAAAACGAAAGATATATAGGGACTTTGGTACACAATTTACCTTAAATCGGATGAAAATATATATGGGAGCTATATCTAAATCTGAACCGATTTTTCTCAATTTCAATAGGGTTCGTCCTTGGGCCTTTTTTCTCCAACAAGTTTAGAAGTTTTTATCAGTTCTAGGAGATATATGCAAAAGTAACATATATTCTTGAAAATAATGGCGATAATATTGAAAAAAAATGGCCTTTGCTATATTTATTACATTTCATACAGGTATGTGACGTTTTCGATGTTAACTCGCACCATCCCTGACTGCTATATTTGCTACAATTTGAATTTGGAGGAATGTATGGAACTGGAATTCTGAAAGTTGAAATTAACATTACCGTCGGAGTGCAATGGTGATGGTTGAACTTATAGAGGTGAAATAAATGTATACCTTGCTTATAAGAATACATGGTCCGTCATATGTAATTCGAATATGAATATATAAACGAGGTCTGGAAAAAGCCCGTTAGTACCGTATATTCGATTTTTGCATATTTACATCCTCCACCATAAAGTGGAGAGTGTATTAAATTGCTTATTCCGTTTGCAACACCCTGAAATATTCACCGTCTGTTGAAATCACGATATAGATCACAATATTTATGATAGTTGAAATTTTGCAGAGACATTGCTAATACTCCTAGGATGTTTAGTATTGCAAATTGTATAAATCGGACCATCTTTTGGGCGTAGCATCCATATAACGGTGCCCCCTAATATTATGTAGTTTGTGAATTTTGGACACGTTTTCCAACCGAATTGGCTGTAATTTAGCATTTTGGGTTCCCATTAACCCGAGCTGTGCTAGCGTGACCATATGGTCACACTCATAAGAGATCAATAAATCATTTGGTGTGAACTATCGACTCAAAATTCGAAAAAAAAATAATTACAGCACTATTTGGGTTAAGGGGACCCACCACACTCTGGTACAGGGTATTATGTCTTTGTTCATATGTTTGTACAGACAAAAGAAATCGAGGTAGACCCATGGTTCCTTTTGAAAATATGCATAGAATCACTTTCTGCGTCGATTTACGCATGTCCGTCTGTCCGTCCGTCCATGTTTTTTTGTGAACAAAGTACAGGTCTCATTTATGATCCCATTTGGATGAAATTTGGCACATTTCACTTATTTGGCCCAAGGGCGATCTCTATTGAAATTGGAGAAAATCGGTTCAAATTTAGATATAGCTCCCATATATGGTTTTGTCCGATTTTATGAAAATGGTGCACCAAACTCTCAATATATTTCCGATTGAAACAAAATGTTGCCCAGATTACTGAATTAGGTCCAGATTGGTGTCTGCGAAGTTTTGTAAAAATCGGTTCAGATTTAGATATAGCTCCCAAATGTACCAAACTCTCAATATTTGTCCGATTGGGAAACAATTTTGCACAGAGTTCTGAATAAGGTCCGGACTGATATCTGCGAAGTTTTGTTAAAATCGGTTCAGATTTAGATATAGCTCCTATGTGTAGTTTCGTCCGATTTTTTGTAAATGATGCACCAAACTCCCAATATAGATTCGATTGAGACAAAGTTTTGCACAGAGTACTGAAGTAGGTGCAGACTGATGTCTGCAAAGTTTTGTTAAAATCGGTTCCGATTTAGATATAGCTCCCATATATAGTTTCGTCCGGCTTTTTTGCGAATAATGCACCAAAATCCCAATATTTGTCCGATTGAAACAAAATTTTGTACAGAGTAATGAATTAGACCCAGACTGATGTCTGCAAAGTTTTTTTTAAATTGGTTCCGATTTAGATATAGCTCCCAAATGTACCAAACTCTCAATATTTGTCCGATTGGGAAACAATTTTGCACAGAGTTCTGAATAAGGTTCTGACTGATATCTGCGAAGTTTTGTATGTAATTTCGTCCGATTTTTTGTAAATGATGCACCAAACTCCCAATATTGATTCGATTAAGACAAAATTTTGCACAGAGTACTGAATTAGGTGCAGACTGATGTGTACAAAAATTTTGAATGATACACTAAACTCACAATATTTGACCGATTGACCAAAATCTTGCAAAGCGAATGCAATTGAGGAAAAAATGGTGTGTGATAAGGTTTCAACAAACCTTATCACACACCATCGGTTCAGATTTTTATATAGATCTTATATATATTTTCGTTCGATTTTATGTAGGGCCTATGTTTGTCCGATTTACACGAAATTTGACAGAGGGTATTCAATTGAATTTAGATTGATAACAAACAAATGGTGTATTCAATATAAATGGTACACCAACGAAGCCAAGTCTTCCCCTTTTGACGTGCAATTTTTCATTGATTTCAGAATGGTATGTGAATGGGTTCAATTGGTTGATTGCATCCCAATGGTCGTCCAAAGATTCTATGTCTGTTCTATCTACAGGATTTTGTAGATATTAACATCTCTTGTATGTAACCAAAGTTGTGAAGGGTATCACATAGTCGGTTTAAATTGGTTTGTGGAAAAAAATATGCGATTTTCCAAAAAAAATATGTTTTCAAAGGTCTGCCATTTTGTTGATTTTTGAGTGAAGTCATACGACAGTCAGACATGTACTCTTTCTAACACCGTTGGAATTTTCGGATTCCGATGTTCCAGTGAGGAGTTATCATACCGCCATCAAAAATAAGGACTTTTCTTTAATCCCATAAAACAACAACAAAACAGTAACACGTTTAAGGGTAGCCAGGATTCAGGATTTCCCATCAAATTGGTATCACCATATATCCGCAAAAATTGTAAATATTCACCCATGTGTATTTTGAGAATTTTAAAATTGTTGAAACGAATTTGGCTGCAATTTGGTATTCTGTGTTCTCATTGGCTGTCAAATCTCCCTACCAAAAAATATCAATATTTATTTCCGTTTTATTATAGTCACATATAACGGTAGCCCCACTTTTAGAAATTTTGAAAATTAAATCATATTTATACCCTTCACCACACTGTCGTACAGGGTATTATGGCTTTGTGCATATGTTTGTAACAGGCAAAAGGAAACGAGATAGACACATGGTTCCTTTTTAGAATGGTAGCTCCCATATATATTTTCGTCCTATTTTATGTAATTGGTGCACCAAAGTCCCTATATATCTTTCGATTTTCACGAATTTTGGTATAGGATACTGAATTAAGTCTGAAATGATGTTGCTAAGCTTCTTGAAAAGATCCATAGCTAGGCCGATTGACACAACGAACTGATGTAATATAAATTAGTCTCTGGCAAGTTTCCCTGAAATCGGTTCAGATATATTCTACAAAGTGGTGAAGGGTATCATATAGTCGGCCCAGTCCGACTTTACTTCTTTCCTTACTGGTTTTCTCTCGTGTTTTTCGGTATGTTCAAGGTCATATATAATATATATTATGGTTGTCATCCCCATGGTAGAGGGTATAAAAATTTTGACCGGGCAGAAGCTTACATCGTGGTTGTTTTGCTTCTTTCCTTGTGTACCTGCTTTGCACAACATAATTTTCCATTTACGAATTATAAATTAATAATTAGGTCTTTGCTTTTATCTAAATTGCCAAGAGTTTTATATTTTAGTTTTTCCCCCACTAGATTGATGACACTTTGTACTTTAGCTTCATTATAAATTCCTTTATCTGGGTAACAGTTATTGTTACCGTAAGCGTTTGTTGTTAACCACAAATACACTTTGAATAATAAACTTTGTAACAACCAAATATTATTACGTTGCTTATATTCCTGGCCTTGACCATTAAATATGAACGATCTAATTAAAAAGTCAGTCATTGTGTGATAGAGGATTTATCTGAGCACAATTTTACACAACGTCGAAGTTTTTTTTTATATAACAACCAACATCAAACGTAAATGTAAGATAATTGCACTAACAGTAATTTAAAATATGTTTCGTAGATTCTAAGCAATGTTAATCATGAATTATAAATAAATGTATAATTAAATTATATTAAATTTGTTGCATGCGATTATGTACAAATTCAAACTGGGTATGGGTTTGTGAAAGAGGACTTACGTTGAGAACGCAAAAACACGACTAGAGGTAACCCAAAAATTCGGAATCTCTATATTCTCCACTTTTAAGACTCTTGAGAAAATTCGAAACCGACCCGACCACTTTATGAGAAAATGTTCTTGGCTTTCAAAACTACAGCTGACTGAAAAATTAAAGCCAATGGTCAATTTGAAGCGACGCAAGATGTCATGTTCAAATTGAAATTATTCGACCTTATTCCAAGTTTTGTGTATACATACCTCAGGCGGCGGGCTGGGTTTGTGAAAGAGGACTTATGTTGAAAACGCAAAAACACGACTAGAGGTAACCCAAAAATTCGGAATCTCTATATTCTCCACTTTTAAGACTCTTGAGAAAATTCGAAACCGACCCGACCACTTTATGAGAAAATGTTCTTGGCTTTCAAAACTACAGCTGACTGAAAAATTAAAGCCAATGGTCAATTTGAAGCGACGCAAGATGTCATGTTCAAATTGAAATTATTCGACCTTATTCCAAGTTTTGTGTATACATACCTCAGGTGGCGGGCTGCCATGGCCAGAACATTCAATGAGACCACCGGAATTATTAGAGAATTCCACGCGATGTGCTGGCTCGTGAAGGAATACTGGGCCTTGTAAATCCAATCCGTTGACTGTGACATACCAATGAACTGTAAAAAAAATATGAAAACAAATAAAGGTTATTACAATGTAGTTGTAAAAGTAATACTAATAAATATTTTCAATTTAGAGTTAGACGTCAAGAGTGACGATGTGATTCTAGCCTTGGATATGTTGATTAATTGCAGTATTTAAAAAATAAAGGATATTCTACAAAATATTAGTTCATAAATTTTCAAATAAAACAGTGAGCGGAGCAGTATAGTCGGACGGACAAAACATCCACTTTCTGAGCTTGGGCAATACTTCGCGATACTTGCATCCCCTTGACCGACTAGAGGTAAACAAATATTATTATTACTAATATTCAGTACAGCCCTTCTAATTACTTGTCCAGATTTCCTTCACGGTGGGCTGTGTTGTGATGTTCGTCTTTCAATTGTGGCCTATAGATCGACTCGAAAAAAACAGAAAAATATTAAGTTTCGGTCCACTTCATCCGAAAAAATATTATCTGATCACCACCTAACATTTTAGGCGTTGTCCTTGACCATAACTGGGACCTCATGGAACATTTCAAAGCGATCAGCGCTATATTTCCGCCCTCCCGTGTGGTAATAGGATACTAAATAATATATGAATATGTAAGCACCTGTAAATATTTAAGTGTAACTCCCGCATCCGAGTACCTACGACAGTATAATTGGTATCAATTTAAAGGTCAACCACTCCTCTGGGATATACTATCAAGTTCTCGGGTCTATGTACTTCGGTGGTAAATATATACGCTATGGAATACAAATTTTGTCATTTTTCACACAAAAGTTAGGGTCAATTTGACCCACTAAATATTGACCGATCTTAATCAAAACAGGCATGCTTATTCTTTGGCCCAATCCCCTATAATTGCGGCCTATGGAGCGACCAGAAAACCCGACAAAGATAAAGTTTTTGGTCCATTCATCCCCTAAATATTAACCGATCTTTTCCAAAAATAGGGGTCTTCATTGGCCAAACCCCATCCTACATGCAAAATTTCGTGAAGATTGGTCCATAACTGTGGCTTGTATCGTGTTTACAAATTATAATGGACAGGCGGACGGACGGACGGACACACATGTCTAGATCGACTCAGCTAATCGAGATATGACGATCGGTATATTTAAGAGTGGGTCTAGGTCCAATACTTCGCGGCGTTACAAACTTTTGGGGCTGCACAAAGCTATAATACCCTGACAACATAGTTTTGTATGTTATAAATATTTCGATGTGCAATCGATCGATTAAATGTGTCCCTTCTTCAAGTGGTACAGCGGTTTGATAAAAATATTAGGTTCTGTAAAGATAGGTTCAAATCGTAAACTCTATTCGCATTACATTTTCAACGAAATTTTTGCGATTTTGTACCAGAAAAAGTGGACCGATTCCATTATCTTCAAGCTGGAGTTAGGTTTGGAAGAAATAATGTGATGTGCAAGGTTTGGATGGAATCGGATACTCTCTTCAAAAGACACTGAATTGTCCATATCGGATTCAAAACCGGTGGGCACATTTCTACCGCAACAAAGTTTATACGCTCTCATTAGCGATAAGGGTAAGGTTGAAATAAAATGATTTGACTTATTAAAAAGTCATTTTGTGAAGAATGTACTAGAAAAAGTGAACCGATATTCGATCTCGATTGAAGTTTGGAAAAAATACATCGATGTGCAAAGTTGGATCAAATCAGTTATTCCCATCGACAGAGCATCAACCCATTTGCAGAAGAGCAAATTTTTTCTCGAAAAATGTTTTTTAAAGAAGCTCGACGCATTTTTAATTTTCTTGCACTGGTCTTGTGGTAACTGTTCCGCTTAAGCAACGTATGTAAATTCTGAGTGGTACATCACAATTACTTCGTCTGAAGTCTCCACATATATTCTAAAAACGAAGAAAGGCAGACGAGTGGTGCACAATGCGGACAAAACCTTCCAAATATTAGGTTCGGGAAAAATAAATCGAATACTTTTTCGCCAAATGGCTGTACTTATAGATTTCTAGTAAAGTATCGATCAAACTATTTCAGATTTATGCTCGTTAGAAGGGTGACATTACGCACTAAATTTTTATACCCTTCACCACTCTGTGGTACAGGGTATTATGTCTTTGTGCCTATGTTTGTAACAGGCCAAGGGAAACGAGATAGACACATGGTTCCTTTTGAGAATATGAATAGAATCACTTTTTAAGACGATCCATGTTAAATTGTGAACAAAGTACAGGTCGCATTTATGATCCGAATTGGAAGCAATTCGGCACAGCTCATTTGTTTGGCTCAAGGACGAACACTATTGAAATTGGGGAAAAAAATCGGTTCAGATTTAGATATAGCTTCCTTATATATTATGGTCCGATTTAATGTATATGGTGTACCAAAGTCCCTATATATTTTTCGATTTGCACGAAATTTGGCACAGCGTACTGATTTAAGTCTAGAATGTTGTGTGTTAAGTTTCTTGAAAATCGGTCCAGATTTATATATAGCTCCCATATATTTTCGTCCGATTTTATGTAAATGGTGTACCAAAGTCCATATATATCTTTCGATTTGCACGAAATTTTGCACAGCGTAATGAATTAGCTCTAGAATGATGTGTGTTAAGTTTCCTGAAAATCGGTCCAGATTTAGATATAGATACCATATATATTTTCGTCCGATTTAATGTAAATGGTGTCGTCCGATTTTACAAAAAATTTACACAAACTATCCACAACGTACTGGAGTTAGAATAACGTAGAGGTTGGTTTTAAATGCTTTTCCATGTTTGGACCAATCGGCACAAAATTTTGCTCTACGTACTGAAGTTACTATAACATATCGTGTGGCAAGTTTTCGGTTTAGATAGCTTATATATATATATATATATATATATATATATTTTCATAATTTTATCCCTGGTTCTTTAAAAATTCGACGTCTTTTAGGTTTCACATGTTGGATATATCGAAAGTGGTGAAGGGCATCATATAGTCGGCCCCGTCCGACTTTACTACTTTCCTTACTGGGGTTTTCTGTTTTTTGTTTGGTGCATTCAGTTGTGAGTTACAGGGTGTTAAAAATGGAAGTGAACAAAGAGAAAATTCGGTACATTTTACAGTTTTTCTTTGACAAAGGCGAAAATGGAAGCAAAATTGTACAACTGTACAACTTCTAATTTCCATTCCTACTCATATTCATACGTTTGTGGTGCAATCTTCTACATTGCATTGAGTTTATGGTACTAATCCCATCATCCCGCAATTACACTTCATTCTGCTGTAGACCAAGTGTCTTACATAGAAATATAAATGCTGACATGCAGACACATTTGACGGATTAATATGACTTAATTACACGACCTACTTTATGACTGTGGTTGAGATATGGAAAAAAGTGTTGATCTTAAATCGAACATATAAATGGGAGCTATTTGTAAATCCGAACCGATTTCTACGATACTTAGCGTGTGCTCAATTTGGTACGCTGTGCTAAATTTCAACTCAATCGGACATCCCATTTACCTGAAATCGAATTATATATGAGAGTTATATCTAAACCTGAAAATGATTTGGACAAAATTTTAGACACTTCATGTTGGCCTCGATTTCGTACGTTGTTCAAATTTTCGTTTCAATTAGACAAAACTTGGGACTGTGCTGCTCTATTGTAAAATCGGACAAAACTTTATGTAACAGCTATATCTTAATCTGAATTGACTTTGACCAATTTTAATTAGGCTCTTCCTTGGGCTGTACAAATTTTCGTCCAATTCGGATAATAAAGGCATCCTGTACTTTATTTGCTATTTTACATCAACCGACGGATTAATTCTATGAATATTCTCAAATAGAACTATGGGTCTATCTCGTTTCCTGTTGTATCACAAAATGGTGGTGAAGGATAAAAAAAAAAATATATAGCTTATTGAAATATCGACTTTAGACCCCAAGTGTCTGTGGACCTTATCAGTTTTAGATTATTTTGAGCCAATTCAGAATTGTCCATCTGTCTCTCGGATATTTTAAAGGTGTCATTTCGTTTTTATTTATTTATTTATTTTTAATTTGACATTATGTAACTGCTTATGCCCTTATAATTAAAAACTCTATACTCCGAAGAATCATTTTTACTCTCGAAAACATTATTTTTTAGCAGTCTTATGAAATGTATATAAAAACTAAAAGCCATCACCTGCTCATCTGCAGAAATTTAAATATGTATCTTCACACTGACGTGTTTACAAAAACATGTGGGTCAAATGACATCGACTACGTGACATGTCTGTTCTGGCTCACCTTTAACAAAAAAAGCCCTAATCGTTACCACAAACAGGGATGTGTCGGTGCGGTGTCGGCGCTTTAAAAAACAAAACTTTGTTTGCAACAAAAGTTCGCTGTTGTTGTTATGCACAATAACGATGGCGACAACTTTAACAAATTGCTGCAAAAGTTATTGGTGTTGGTACTGCTGTTCGTAATGATTAAAAGTACAGGAAACGGATCCCATACGTAATTTGCAAATTTTAAATAACAACAAATTGAAGTTTTTTGAGTGTGGGTGTGTGTGAAACATTTAATTACAGCAAACACTGTAGTTCTATTATTGATATGACAGCTCTAGGGACGTTTGTCAACATAGACATGATGAAAACTAAAACAAACAAAATATAACATTACAGGCAATATGGTAATAAAAATTAGTCGGGTTCTTCACATTGCGGCTAGGCCAAAACATAGACCAATATTATAAATTTTCTAGGAAAAAATTGTTTTCCATCAAGAACCGTGATATCAGATAGCAGCCACTTCGGTCAAAAAAAAGAACATAGGGCCAAACAAATATCAAAATATCTTGGCATGGCATTTTTTAAAGATATTTTTTAAGTTCTCCAAGAACCCACAATACAAAATTACAGCTCCTTCGACTGGAAAATACCCCTATGAAAGCCAAATCGAATGTAAGTCAAATGTAAAACATATATCGACGCCTCCGAACCATAGTATGCTAAGTCGACTTAGCATGTTTTAAA